ACAGGATTCATTGTCAGGAGGCTGGAGTCAGGTGCTAGAGCCAGGAATTGAACCCAGGGACTCTGAGATGGAATGTGGGCACCTTACCTCTAGACTAAATACCTGTTCCCTATGTTACGTTCTGTAGCAAGTAAATTTGAATTGACATTCATATATCAAAAAACATGATTTACACTAAATATTCACTAGGGAGTGCATTTTATACAACTCCCTTAATTATTTGTTTTAAGCTTAGCTCTTTTTAAATAAGATTTATTTTGAAAGAGAGAGGGACACACTCACACACACACACACACACGCGCGTGCATGCACACACACATCTTCCATCCGCTGGTTCACTCTTCAGATGGCCACAACTGCAAGTAGTGCTGATCCAGACAGGAGCCAGGAGCTTCTTCTGGGTCTTTCACATGGGTGGCAGGGTCCCAAACACTTGGGAAATCTGCTGTTTTTCACAGGCTATTAGCAAGGAGATGGATTGGAAGTGGAGCAGTGGGGGCAGGACCCGGCATATGGGATTCTGGCACTGCAGGCAGTGGCCAACAATGCTGGCCCCAAGCTTAGCACATTTTATGTCTGAACTCTTAAGTTTTTACTGCAGATAAATTTATTTTAATTCATTCATTGATAATAAGAATTTGCCAGTTTTAGAAACAAACATTAAATATTGCTAACTTTTGATAATATATTTATCAGTGCTACATTAAATCTGGTATTTTTGAAGTGCATTTACATGAAAATAGTTGTTAACTGGAGCAGATGTTTTGTCACTATAGTTAAGCCACCATTTAAGACATTCCAAATCCATATCGGAGTGCCTGGGTTTGTGTCTCACCTCTACTTCTTTTTTTCTTTTTTAAAGATTTATTTATTTAAAAGTCAGTGAGAGAGATATCGAGATAGATATCTTCTTACTGCTGGGTTACTTCCCAAATTGCTGCCATGGGATAGGGCTGGGTCAGCCCAGAGCCAGAAATACCATCTGGGTCACCCACATGGTAACAGGGACCCAAGTGCTTGGACCATCATCCATTGCTTTCCCAGGTGCATTAGTAGGGAGCTGGATTGGAAGCAGAGCAGCTGGGACTCAAACTGCTACTTTAATATGGGATGCCAGTGTTGCAGATGGTGGCTTAACCTGCTGTGCCATGATGCTGGACCCTCACCTTCATTTCTTTCTTTCTTTCTTTCTTTTTTTTTTTTTTTTAAAGATTTTATTTATTTATTTGAGAGGTAGAGGTACAGACAGTGAGAGGGAGAGACAGAAAGTCTTCCGTCTGTTGTTTCACTCCCCAAATGGCCGCAATGGCTGGGGCTGTGCTGATCGGAAGCCAGGAGCGAGGTGCTTCCTCCTGGTCTTCCACACGGATGCAGGAGCCTAAGGATTGGGCCATCTTCCACTGATTTCCCAGGCCATAGCAGAGAGCGGGACTGGAAGAGGAGCAGCCGGGACCAGAACCGGCGCCCGTATGGGATGCTGGTGCCACAGGTGGAGGATTAACCTACTGCGCCATGGCGCTGGCCTCTCACCTTCATTTCTGATCCAACTTCCTGCTAATGCACTCCCTGAGAGGTAGCAAGTGATCGCTGAAGTGCTTACATTCCTGCTGTCCCCATTGGAGACCTAGATGGAGTTAGCTTCAGCATGACTCAGCTCTGGCTGTTTGCAGGCGTTTGGGAAGTAAACCTGCAGATATGTGCCTTTCAAATAAATAAATAACTCTTTGTTCCTTTAAAATAAATAAAAATAAAATTTAAAACAGTTACTGACTAGAAAGTTTGAGGAAATATCAATATATTAATAAGACTTGAAGTGTTAGAGAAACACTGATGAACTTTGTTTATAAGTGAATTCAGTTCAGTGAATTTTTTATAATTTTAAAGGCTTTAAAATAGTAAATGTTTATCTGAATTGGAATTCTGAATAAAGAAAATGTAAGATTAAGATTTATTTTTTAAAGATTTATTTATTTATGTGAAAGTAAGAGTCAGAGAGAGAGAGAGAGAGAGAGGGAGAAATCTTCCATCTGCTGGTTCACTCTCCAAATGGCTGCAAAGCCAGGATCCAGGAGCTTCTGGTCTTCCCATGTGGGTGACAGGGGCTGAAGCACTTCAGCCATTTTCAGCTGCTTCTCCTAGATCATTAGCAAGGAGCTGGATCAGAAGTGGAACAGCTGGAACTTTAACCAGCATCCATATGGGATGCCAGCATTGCAGGCAGCAGCTTTATCTGCTATACCACAACTCTGGCCTTGAAATTTTTTTTTTTTTTTTTGAGAAGTAGATATATTAGTGAATCAATTTGTGGAAAAAAAAAAAGAGGTTAACTAAATAAAGAAATGAAAGCAAAACCACAACTAAACTGTTATCAGATTTATGTATTGCAAGGGAACTCTGACCTTAAAGAATATATTTTGGTGAGGGTAAGAGATTGAGTTGCTGAAATATTTTGTAGAATTGAGGGCTCCTAGAAGGGGCATTTACCTGGAGTGAGAAGAACAGGGCTTTCCTGCCCCGTGTACCCAGTCATTGAAGTATCTCTGGACATTGTGGTAAAGAGCATGTCATCAGCCTTCATATAAAAGTATTGGCATCCACTCAAGGGTTGACATTGACACTGACTCCCGGTGCCTGGGAGTCCCAGACACCCTCTGGGACCTTACCCCTTCTTCATGTGGTGACTCTCCCAGGTGCCACATCATCACTCGCCCCCTGACAGGTAGTGTACAAAAGAGAAATGGAAATGACATATGTATTCTCTTTAATTTTCAACTTAAAAGCTGCAAGAAATCTTAAAATTGAAGATTTCTGAGTTTTTTATTAATGCAACAGATGGAAGTTATATTTAAATCTATTAAGTGAAATAATTACTGGGTTTGTTCCATGTTCCTGTTCATGTAATTCAGAGTAAGAGGCTTGGTTCTATTCTGCTCAAGCTTTCAAATTCCTTTCACAGCCTGGATGTGAAATTCAAAAGCCATTAATGTGATGTGTTAATTTTGCACTTTTTGACTTGCTGCAAAAAAAAAAAACAAAAAAAAAAACAAAAAAAACCCTTAAGTTTCCATAGCAACGAGAATCCATCCAGATTGTGTAATATTCTATATAGTATTAAAAATAAAACTATGCAATTATATGAGATTCTGGAGCACTTCATTTAGGGGAATTGGTGTTTGAAATACTACTGTTGAAAAAGAATTGTGGTTGCATGCGAAAAGTTTGTCAGAAAGCTTTTGTAATTTTGTTTCAAAAATTTACTAGGCCTAACTGTTCAGTAATTGATAGCTGGTGGTTAACTGTTGAGTGTATAAAATATGCACCGTAAGCATTGTGGCGGAGCCCCTTAGGCATGAGTCCTCTTGCACGCCTTCCCAAACCTGCCTGGAAGGCAGAGTGAGGGCCTGTGCTTCCACACGTCCAGCTTCTCAGTGGCTCCTGAGAGGTCTGAAAATGTCTAGTTTCATGTTTGGGAGAAAACAGATGGAAAAAGAGGGGGAAAATGATCTCTTAAGCTTCCCTAATTTCTGACTTTGCTCTTTAAAATATGTTTCAGCTGTCACTGTGAAAATACTAAAGATTCTTTCAGTAAGTAGATAGTTCCAAATTACTTAATTGTTTTTTCCCTTTTCCCTCCTAATCCTAATTTAAAAGGCACTATAATACTGGCATTAAAGTCAATTAATATAACTTCCTGCATCTCAACACAGCTGTTTATGGTTTTTTTTGTGTGTGAGTTTCAACAGATATATGGCTGTATGTGTTTTTTATATAGTATAATTTGCATATTTTCTTAGTATTAAACATTTTCCATATTTTTAATGACCACCATGGCCATCTTCTTAATAATTACAGCACCCTCTATCTTGGTGCTATCTTTGGTGTGTTTTCTGTTTATCAAAATGCTGGCTGTTTATTTCGTGAATGCTGTTTATTAGAAGAGAAGTGGATATAATTTTTAAACAATTATGGGAAAAGGTGACCATAATTATTTGTTCAAACCATAGATGATTGTGAAAAATCTTCAAAAGACACATAAAGTGATGTTTTAGTAAATGCATTATGGGGGCTGGTGTTGTGGCACTGAGATAAAGCTGCTGCCTCTGATGCACTGGACAAAACCATGACATGGAAATACCTCACTGAGGTAGACTGGGAGGCCATGGATCATGACTGTGTTTCCAGATCCTTCACTCTGAAACCCATTAGAGTGTTTATCTGGGGTGTTTGGTTGTCCTGGGTCACGACCCTGAGGATGCTTACTGTGATGTTCTCGCTACTCATCTGATTGTATTTTTATGCCACATATCTCCACTGTTGAGCTGCTGTCTTCCATGGTTAATCACTCAGGAAAACACCGATGTTCTCCAGAATTTCTAAGCCTATCTTCTCGTGTTTGGAAAATTTATTGTAATTGCTGGATTTCTTCTAGGGTTGCTGAGAACAATTTTTTTTAAGGGGTTCTAAAAGGTTTTAAAGGCTTTGGTTGAAGTGTTAGGGCTTTTGAGTGTCCTGTATGCTAGATGAGAGCCAGTGTATTCCAATGGCTTCTTTCTCTTACAAATGATTCTCATACGATGAAATCACTTTAAATGGATCCAGGGGTTTATTTCTGCCAGTTATTTTGGTAGCGAGTGTTTATAGCAGAATGCTTTCATAGACTCCAGATAATTAAGACAGGAGTGGAATTATCTTGCAATATGTTTGAGTTTATATTTATGCTTGTTTACTCTTTGAAACTAGTGCTGTGTTTAGTATCCTGTTTCAATTTTGAATTTTGTGTTTTGGCTCTGTCTGGTGTTTTCATTGTGTCATGAATTTCTTTTGGTATTTCATATTTCCGTAATTGAGATATTATAAAAAATAATAAAAAGTGCATGGCATAGGGTATTTGCATATTACTGAAAGAATAAGTGCATTCTAGTTGTTTTGGCAGTTATAATTTTGAATCTGAAGGTAATATATGGAAAAGTAAAAAAAATTTTTTTGTTGTTCATGTGCAGAAAAGATGAAAAGGAGTATGCACTGAAGCAGATTGAAGGCACAGGAATATCCATGTCGGCTTGTAGAGAGATTGCAGTAAGTACAAATACAATCATCTATTTTATTGTTGGTATTGGTGATGGTTTAATATGAAAAAGTTTCATTGACATATACAATGCATGGTATTTCGCAGATGTCAATTAGTGTATGGATACTTTAGGATGAGAAAATTTGTATAAACTTAATTACTTGGGGTTCACTCCCCAAGTGACTGTAACAGCCAGATTTGAGCCAGGCTGAAGCCAAAAGCCAGGAACTCCATCCTGGTCTTCACATGGGTACAAGAGTGGTTCTCTGCTGGCTTCTCCAGATGTGTTAGCAGGGAGCTGGATGGGAAGCAGAATGGCCAGGACCTGAACTGGCACTCCTTTATGGGAGGCTGGCATTACAAGTAGTGGCTTAATCTGCAGCATCACATCACCACTCCTGATCTTACACATTTTAAACACCTTTTCTGAAGTATATAATTTAGTGATAAATTTTACTGGTCACCAGAAAAGTAAGATCATAATTATTGGATAATCCCTTAAAGATAGATTCTTCTCCCAACTCTCTTTTATATGGCACACTGGTACATCTAAGAAATGATTGGCTATAAGAATACCTAACATTTACTCAGGGTTTACTAGGTAGCAGAAGTACTAAGTATTTTACGTGTTCATTTAATTTTCACAATAATCTTGTGAAACAAATAGTTACATGCCCATTTTATACATCAGAAAACAGGGAAAACCATAATTATGGCTTCGAAAGCTTATTATTATATTATTACCTTCTTTAATAAAGGTTGCTAATTAGGGCTTTATCATGATATTGTATCTGTTAGGGATTTCTGTCTGTTATTAAATATTTAAGTGTAATTTTTAAATTCTTAAATAATTGTTTATGTTGTCCACTAAAGATTTCTGCTCTAATTTAAAAACTATTATATGAATAACCCCACAGTTCTGTGTTTTTGCTTCACTCCCATGGAAGTATTCCTTTGTCACTTCCATGCATAGGGAAAAAATGTGGTGCAAGGAAATCCATAGACGTAGAAATCTATCTGCCTTGTGGCTAAGTTAGTGCTGAGTCTAAATTTCCTGATCTGTGAAATTAGGAATCGTGAGGTCCCTTCTAGTGATAAATTTTTTTGGTTTTAGAATGGAGCCTTTCTCTGTACTGTGTGTGCCTCAAGGAGCAGAGACTTTGTTTTCTCATCCCTAGTTCCAAGCATAGTGCACAGTACCTAGCAGGTGCCCCATCGATGTTTCTTGAATAGATGCACAGTTGAACAGGATGAAAAACATTCCATTAGTGGTCCATGAGTCTGAGATTGCTTTGAAATATAGGTTCAGTGTTTGAAAAATTTCAATGTGGTGTTTTTCCCACTAATTATTAAGTGGTGTTTGTAGTGGCCTTCCTGAATAAGCATTTTATAAGTGATTTGTGGCACCTTCAATTTCTTTCACATTATGTCAACCATTATGAATATCATAGATGTGTTATTTTGCTGTGTTTGAGTATCACAATTTAGATTAGAACTTTTCAGCCTTCCCTTCTATAAGTTAATTGGGTAAATTTACAAAATTTTAAGGTGTTTATTAATAAGAAAGGGAAGTCCAATTGTAGATGTCTTTTTGAAATAGGAGCTAATGTGTGTGGAGGAATCTACAAGTGCTGGTGTCTTTATGTAAATTTGGAATATGATGGAGAAAAAAATTGCTCAGAGACTTCATATTTTTATTGACAATTTGCCTAATAAAACTTTAGAAAGTTTGCAGATTTTCTGGAATAAATAGTATTTTTTTTGACAGATAGAGTTAGACAGAGAGACAGAGAGAAATGTCTTCTTTCCGTTGGTTCACTCCCCAAATGGCCGCTACAGCTGGCGCTGTGCCGATCCGAAGCCAGGAGCCAGGTGCTTCCTCCTTGTCTCCCATGTGGGTGCAGGGGCCCAAGCACTTGGGCTAGCCTCCACTGACCTCCCGAGCCACAGCAGAGAGCTGAACTGGAAGAGGAGCAACTAGGACTAGAACCCGGTGCCCATATCGGATGCCAGTGTCGCAGGCGGAGAATTAACCAAGTGAGCCACGGCGCCAGCCCCAAATAGTATTTTTTTTTTTTTTTGAAGATTCAGTTATTTATTTGAAAGGCAGGGTTACAGAGAGACAGGGGCAGAAAAAGAGAGAAGTCTTCCATCTTCTGGTTGACTCCACAAATGGCTGCAACAGCTGGAGCTGGGCTGTTCTGAAGCCAGGAGCCAGGAGATTGTTCCAGGTCTCTCACTTAGGTGCAGGGGCCCAAGAACTTGGGCCATCCTCTGCTGCTTTCCCAAGGCATAGCAGAGAGCTAGATCAGAAGTGGAACAGCCGGATTTCGAACCGTTGCCCGTATGGGATGCCAGCACTGCAGGTGGAGGCTTTACCCACTAGGCCACAGCGCTGGGCTGGGCCCAATTAAATATCATTTTATGACTATGCTAACATGCCTTCCCAGGAGCATTAGCAGGGAGCTTGTTTTTTTTTTTTTCTTTTAAATATTTACTTATTTATTTGGAAGGCAGAATTACAGAGAATCAGAGGCAGAGAGAGAGAGAGAGAGAGACAGAGTCTTCCATCAGCTGGTTCACTCCCCGGATGGGTACAATGGCAGGAGCTGTTCTGATCCAAAGCCAGGAGCCAGAAGGAGTTTCCTCTGGGTCTTCCACATGAGTGCAGGGGTCCAAGCACTTGTGCCATCTTCCACGGCTTTCCCAGGCCATAGTGGAGCAGCTGGGATTTGAACCTATACCCACATGGGATGCTGGCACTGTAGGCAGCAGCTTTAGCTGCTGTGCCACAACGCTGGCCTCATGGGAGTTGGATCTTAAGTGGAGCATTGGGTACTCTAATTGTTGCTCCATATGGCATACCAGTGTCACAAGTGGCAATGTAACCCACTTGTACCCTCACCACTGGCCCTGAGGGGTGGGATTTCAACATATGTATCTGGGGAGAGGGTCATAAACATTCAGCTCATTGCTGGAGAGAAGAGAAATAGATCAAGCCTGACTTCTTGTTAGACTGTTGCTTCCTTCAGTTCTGTCTTGCATTGCTGAGAAGCTCTACTCCATCATTCATCTTTGCTCAGCTCTTTTTTTTTTTTTTAAATTTTTGACAGGCAGAGTGGACAGTGAGAGAGAGAGAGAGAAAGGTCTTCCTTTTGCCGTTGGTTCACCCTCCAATGGCCGCCGTGGCCGGCGCGCTGCGGCCGGCGCACCGCGCTGATCCGATGGCAGGAGCCAGGAGCCAGGTGCTTTTCCTGGTCTCCCATGGGGTGCAGGGCCCAAGCACCTGGGCCATCCTCCACTGCACTCCCTGGCCACAGCAGAGAGCTGGCCTGGAAGAGGGGCAACTGGGACAGAATCCGGCACCCCGACCGGGACTAGAACCCGGTGGGCCGGCGCTGCTAGGCGGAGGATTAGCCTAGTGAGCCGCGGCGCTGGCTGCTCAGCTTTTTAAAATATCATTTATTTATTTAGAAGGCAGAGAGGTAGAGAGGAATCTCACACCCACAGTTTACTCCTGAAATGCCTGTAATGACTGGGGAGGGGCCAGGCTGAAATCAGGAGCTCAGAACTCAGTTCAGATCTTCCATGTGTATGGCAGATACCCAACTACTGGAGCCATCATCACTGTTTCTGAGGGTGTGTATTAGCAGGAAGCTGGAATTGATAGCATAGTCAGGACTCAAACCCAGGTACTCCAACATGGAGTTCAGGAGTTCCAAGCTGCATCTTAACCACTGTGCCAAATGCCCATCCCTCTGGTTGGTTCTAAGTGTATGTATGTATCTACCAGCACCCCAGCGCTGGAGCTCCTGTGCTGAGAGGCAGGATCAGCTTAACGGCCTGTCACCTGTAGTTCTTCCACACAGCATGCAGCAGGCAGCGTAGAGTGGCGTGGTAGGCGTCGTCGTCTATGGTTCTTTTCCTCTGTTGCCTCCGCAGTGGTAGAGGAGGCTGCTATGGAAACTTCAGTGGAATGCTTGGAGCTTCCCTTTTTGCATAAAGGGAAAGCTTTGCCTTTTAAACTTATGGAATGTGATGGATAGAATGTACGTTTGCTGAGAAATATTTAAAATGTCTATGAGCAAGGCTCCAATTCTCACTCACTGTTTCTGTCAGCCTTACCACTATTTTGTTGAATTTTGTGTTGAAAGTTGAGACACATCTGTTTAGTCTCATTAAGGTTATTAAATTGTATCATCCCAGTTCTTCTCTGGTTTTCTCTCAAAGCAAGTTTCTTAAAATTGTGTTCAACTTTATGAAAGTACAGATTTGTAGAAAAAAATGTGTCATTCAGTTAGTGTTTTTTTTTTTACCTTTTCATTGAAAGTGAAAAAATCAGATATAGGTGAGATTTTTGTGAAAAATACTAAAAATAACTAAAGTTTTTCTTTTTTTCAGTACACTTCTATTATTTTCATAATTATTATTTTCATAAAAAGCTTCATATGCTTTTTAGGAGAATAGTTCTTATATTGTTTTTCCCCCTTGACTATATGGTGCCAGCTAATTTTTTTCAAGTATATATTTAGTGTTATTGGAAAAATAAATAATATCCCTGGTAACCCTTATAACTACAAATAAAATCTTGAGAGATTTTGGGGGTGGAGTTCTGGGAATTTGAAACAGAGTTAGTGCAAAGGGAGGAACCACACTGTGGCATTTTCTTTTCCTTGTAAAAGCTGAAAACGTGTGAGGATCCCAACAGAACTCTGGTTCGTAGGGTAGCCCTGACTGTCTTGCACTGTATGTTAGGTCATGTGTCTCTGAGGGTGATGAATGTGTGTGTGTTTGTGTGTGTGTGTGTATGTGTACATGTACATGCGTGCGTGTATACCTTTTGGAGTGTGTATTTCAACCTACTTTATGTTTCCCATAAGACGACTAAGTGATAAGTCTTTGATGTAACACCTGTTGTTGCTTGTAGTAGAAAAGATGTGGACCATGTGGCTTTCTGAGGTTTTGTATGAAGGTGACCAGTAAGGAGGAACAGTTGTGCTTACCAGTT